CTTCTTTTGGCGGAACCAGGGATTGAACTCAGGCCCTTGCGCTTACCAGGGAAGCGCTTATTCCACTGAGCCATCTCCCCGGCCCAAAGCCCTCTTTTCTAAGCAGAGGTGAAAGTTAATTATTTCAGTGGCGTCTGTTTGGCCACGTGGGTCAGGCCTACTACGAGTCTATCCAGGGACCTACTTACTCTTGGTAATGTCTGGAGATAAACTATTGAGTTTTGGTTATCTTGACTACTGCCGGGATAAAGTATTTTAACTTCACTGAATTTTTACATCTTAGAATTCTAATACAAATTCCACTTTCCCCAGGTCTGTCTTCTGAAAATAAGTGAAATAATAACTAATTTTCTGGCTAGTCATCCTAGTATAGAGAATAAAATGGAAGCTTTTACGTAAGTCCAGGGTCCAGTTCATGTTCACCCTACAAATCCATGCTGAGCGTCTCTGTATTCCAGGAAAGACATTCAAGCAGAAACTCTAAGGAAGGAGCTTGGCGTCGGTCCAGGATGGATCTTTTGCATTCATTCAAGCTGGGAAATGCTCTCGCCTAGTCCTCCTGAGCTGAACTCTGTCCTACAAATAGCAAACTCACAATTCCCAAAATGTAAGAAGTCATAGCCAACCACAATGACCTGGTGACAAGTTTGAATTACAGAATAATTTCACAAAAGCCAAATCAGAGACCTTCAGAGTAGATTGTGTGACTCCTGTTTGTCCTACTTGACTTCTTCATACCACTGACACCTTTCTTCTCAAGGCCACGAGACCAGGCAGTGGTCAGCCATGGCCGTCTGCGTGGTGGTCATCTGTGTGACAGTGCAGATGACATCAGTCAGTATGTACAAAGTACTTCGATCTGTGCCTGCCGCGAGCAAGGACCTCTTTGAAGTCCTGGCTGACTGTGGTTGTATTTACTGCTAGTACTGTGTGTGTAGCAACCACGAAACATTGCCACACAAACCACGGAAAGCCAGGAGGTGACACACATAGTTTGTATTTGTCTAAATATTTCAGATATGTGAGTGAGGCAAACATGCCCACCTCATAGATGATTTTTACATAATGTAAAAGAAAATCACTGGCAATCCTTAAAGAAAACCTTAACCCTATGGTTATTACTGTTGCCCCCAACCTCTTCGCCTGGATTTCTGTTTGCAGTCAGCCCCTGGTTCCCTCACCAGGGGCTGCAGCATCAGGTCCAAGCGCCCCTGCTCACCCTGATCACCGTCCCGCTCCGGGCTCGAGGCGCTGCGGCGCCTGCCTTGCGGGCTGACCTGGGCACGGCTCTGTGCATCGCTCACGTTAGTTCAGCCCAGGCTCGCACATGCATGTCCATTCCTGTCGGGCGCCCTCCCGTCCAGCAGGAAAGCACTCAACACGATTTGTG